AAATATATTTAAATGACTCTTGTGCACATAATATGTGTGTACAAATCTTACGTAAGAAAGCTTGTATATACAAATATATATAGATATCATAAAGAAGGGATAAGTATATCTGACTTACTTTTTTAACTTAATCGATAATAATCTTATATTGAAACCGCTATATCTATATCGTGGGCTCAAAATCACTCACGTGTCAAGAATAAATTATTTTAATATTTTTCACTATAATGTTATGATAATCATTGCTAATTTAATTCATTCACGTACAAACCACATTTACATTTAGAACGTCGACATTTTTGAAGATATTAATCGCGATTCTTTACTCCTGTTATAACAATACCTCCAGCTTGGTAATTCCAAGTTTTTGTATCGCTTCCAGTTTAGTCACGACCAAAATAATCAACTGATTGTACGCACGTGGAGTTGAATAAGTAAATTGACCGCAAACCTCCTTTGGTTTACTGATTATTATTTCATTTCACATAAACGAGATATGTACCGTATCCTGCTTACAGATTTTCCTCTTACGGTTAGATCTTTCTTCAAAGTATGCAAATGTTCACAGAACTGTGATAACTTGTACTGCAGTTTCCCCAATACTGTTTCCTTTTTTAGATCACAAAAATTCAATTTGCATTTGTCACTTTCCAAATCACTCCCACGCATCCACGATTTCTAATTTGAAGAAGCGTCATTTGCATGATTGGCTGCTGGCAAAATAATAGTACCGCAGTTTTACGGGAAAACGCGCACGGCCAATCGATTTTTTATTTATGTAACGTGCAATTAATTATCAGCAGGATGGATCTTTCCTGCAGGTTATTATCGCTACCATTGATTTTCGTAACTTGACGCCTCGCAACAATGCACTATCGCAAACAGAATTTTATATTCAGGTAGCGGAATTCAATCTATTTTGTTCTGATAAACGAGTTCATTTCATAATAATTTATTCCTGATCTATAATTATTAACCGCAAATTTTATTGTTTGCATGAACAATTATTTCATTCATTTTTTTTTTAATATTTAAATAATCTCGTGGCGCCCAATCGTACAGTACATGGTTACGCAGGTATGTGGAGTTCATTAAAGACGAACGTTCCGTAATTCCGGTGTGATCATCAATTGTTCTCATTTTATAATAGAGTGCAATTATTTAATCACTTGACCATGGGAATTTCATTGAATTCTAACTTCAGCCATGGATCGTGGCTAATTTTGATTATTATTCCCAGAATCAGAATTATCGAATTTTGTAATAGTACGAAAATATAACAATATCCATGTCTTCTTTGACTCCACTGTTCCCTCAAATTAAAATAATAATAATGAAACGCTACTCAGTTTTATATGTAAATTTGTAGTTCTGTTTTTTGAACATGCACTTCTGAGTATGACGCATTACATGTTTGAAAAGTCATCTTGGCTATCAAAGAATTAAATGTTAAGACAAAGCACGTAATTTCCTTCTCACTTAAATGAAAAACATGATTATCACCGAGATTCAGCCGAATCTTTCTTCTTGCGTCATTATTGATCTATGAGTATCAATGGAACTCCCAGAAATAGATACCTGCTCTAAGGAAAGTTACTCATTGATGCGCTCAGGTATATTACCGTTGAATCTGATAAAGCAAGTTTATAATAGCATGAATGCGTCTTGGAAGAACTTATTCATTGGGACGATGATTCGTTGACACTGAATAAACTAATAAATTTAATTCCGCTTAGTGGCCCTTCCTGCGAAACAACCCACCCTTGGAAAAACCCATGCGATCGTCCTGTATGTTCTCGTCGATTTGCGTCAACTATCAAAACAAGTCGCATCTGTTCTGCAGAAGGAGTAGATATAAAACGCAAACAGCAATAACTACGATTAAATGATCCAAGTGCAATCAAATAATTACAAAACGCGTAGATCTATTAACATGGATAAATTTTATTACGTAAGAAACGTATTTACCAATGAACTCTGTAAATTTTGTTTTGTTATTTTAATGACGTCTCTATTAAACTGTAAGGCATCATTGAAATAAGTTAAGATGTATTTTGGGAACTTACGCTTTCTTGCCCGTAGGTATCAAGGGGGAATCCGTTCATACCATACGTTTGGCTATCAAAACAACTGCATTCTTCGGAAGTACCAAGTATTTTTAATCCTAATCCTACGTTTTCCTAGAACGAGTAAATCCGAGCCTTTTTTCCTGTCATCTGAGAAAGAGGAAAGTTTGTCTCACGGAAAACCCGTTTGCTCGATTTTACTCTTGACCCATAAATTAATTAACAATTTCGAATGTAACACAATATTTTTCGATTAATTTAGGTGGGAAGAATAATACTGCGTTAAATAAAAATAAATAATTGTAAGATTAAGTATAGTTACAAGTCTTATTTAATACGCATTTGTCTAGCTTATTGCACTCTCATAGTTAGATAAGACATCGGTTATAAATGATATAATGCAGATAGTGAGAAGTTATCCGTATATCTATGATTGTGTTTATTCGGAATTTGGATGAGGTTTTCGCGATTTACTTTACCGGGGACTTTCTTCGGGTTCGAAGGCGGTTCCGGCTGGAAAACCCGTCGCGTCGAACCGTGGGTCAACATTTACCGATTAGCTCGAATCATCTGCCACGTGCCCGTCGCAGATATCTGGATCACGAGTGGTGACCCTGGGAGGCGACCTACAGTAGCTGTGGTAGACGATCCGGACGAGGAATCGCGACGAGGACGGGGAAACGGCAGAGAAGAACCCGGTAAATACAACGGAGCACAACCGAGGCCGACATGAGTCAGTCTCGTCGCGGCTGTTGATCGATTCGCACGTCGAGGACTTCTCCGATTCATCAGGCACACGCGACGAACACATCGTTCCCGTTTCGACGGATAAGAATCTCAGTCCTGCCGATTATGCAAAGTAGACGAACGAATATTTAACTACCGGTGAATCGTGAGTGAAAGCTGAAGAGGAGAGACACAGAAGTTACAACATACATCGAGGACTCTAAAGGTAAGGGCTCAAAGATGAAGAGTGTATGTACATATGTACCGCACGGACGGGAAGAATTTGAGGAAGGTCGGGATTCTCGTGAGTAGAATGCGATGCTCTGGACAGTCTTCACTTAACACTCGTGATCCCTTTGGACTCTCGCAATCAGTAAAAGATAGGCGCGCGTCGAGGTATTTTAAATTTATGTGAAAACAAATTTTACTTTGATTTCAAAAAACTAATCTGTGCAGAAGTAACATGCGGTTTCTATTTACAATTCTATTGATAAAATTATATGTAACTTCTTGCCTATTAATTAAATGTTCGGATTGGAATTTATAAGTTCAATAACTGAAAAAAATAATAATGAATATAATAAATATGTTAATGATATAATCGACAGTCAGTCTGCAAAGTAACAAAAGTGACAGTAACAGCAATGAAATCGTTGTAACGCGAATTCCAGCACGTGGATGCAAATTTTCCAAGAATTTGCAAAATTACATCGCTATGGCTGGAACTAGTTTGTGAAGATCAGACGTTCACGCAATTATTTCCATACTATTTTATTATAAAACATGTGGTGATTCTATTCGAAGTAAAAGTTGATTCACAAAACAATTTGGAGCAATTTGGTTGTTTATTGTTCACCGGCGGCTATTATTTCACCGCAACGAGCAATTTGAGGTGATCGTTCCTGCCTCAAGGATTTTACGTATAGGTAGTTCAATTATAAAACTATGAGTAATTTGCGCCTTAGCTAACAATAAGGTATCGATACGGCGATGCATACGAATTAGTGACAATAAGGTTCAATTGTGGTATTGAAGTCATGCTCCTTTAAGCAAATGCATTCTTCTTATTTATCATAATTTATGAATCATACAACACTTCTACATTAGTTCGCTCTGTCTTTATTGAATGCTGATTTAGTCAGTTAAAAAGAGAATGGATAGTGCATTGAAAATTTTAATACGTTATGTAGTATATTATTAATAGAAGGTATCTATATTTAATCATTCTAATTAGAAATGCAAGTTTCATAATCGAATATCTTTTGATCATGGTCACTGATAATACGCACAATCGATGAACTATGACGTGCTTAATCACTTATTGTTTCTCCAATTACTCTTCGTTCGAAAGAAAAAACATCCTTGCGGTATCGGATCCTCGTTGTCCGACGATAATCCTTTGCAGTACGAGCACGAGGATGAGTAATTACGTAGGGTCATCGAGCTCACGATTCGCTCAGGGAATTCCTACAGCCGTCTGACAGATTTATTGGATGCGAACGTAATCGTCGTGACCATACTCTGCATTTACAGGTTTTATGGCGGCAGGTAGAACAGAAAGAAATCGTGATTAGAAAATTGAGCTTCCAAGGAACATCGATCGCGTAAACAGCGATGGAATAAATTTCAGATAAACATATGGAATCCCGATAATTGGTATCAAAGGATAAAATATTTCCGAGATTTCGTAATCCCACGTTTCGTCGCTACTTGTCCCATTATTCGATTATCTTGAAAATTTGAAATGTCTTCAATTAGGTGTTCCGTCGCTTGTGTAGTTTTTATTCCAAATTAAATATCATTAAAAGTGTGCGAGATTGAAAGAATGATGTTCGAATAAACGATAGGTATCTACGTACATCTTCGTACCATTTAAATGAGTGATTAACAGATAAAATTCATTATAAAAAAGTATTCTAACGAAATCGTACAATGTTTATGTAATCAATCATGTCAATGCAATATCTTTCATTGCTATTCAAGTTTTATCAAACTACTATCTTGACACGTGTAAACGACTTTCCTGGATGCGTAAGAGGCCATTTACTATGTAATGCGATTAATAACGCATTGTTGTGCACATTGAACGCAAACACGGGCGTCACGCATTCTCATTCATCCTGCAGATTCTAAATGATATTCCACATGGGTTTTCCCGCTAGATGCTCGAACACTTCCCCGGCATTGTCACCTCTAATCAGTAATGAGGCGTGTAATACGTCTCATTGTGTCGTAAAATTGTCGTGCGCGAGTTATTAACACGTATGGCGTACCAAATGCGGAATATTCTCCTGGAATCAGTCTTAGACTGAAATTATATAGTGTCATTGCTTTCATAATCCATTAACGATAATGATGACAATCCACGTCTTTATATCAAATAAGATTATTGTCTTGTCACGATGGTCTAAGATCGATGTTGATGGCGTTCGAATTATACAGATTGTCCCACATAGGGAAAAGAATACTAGAATTTTTTTCCTTTATTAACACATGACACAAATGAAAAATACTTTCGTTTTTATATCCTTGTTGCTAATTAATATTCAAGGAAAAAGGAGGTCCACTGCAGCATATTAGCTTCAAAATTGTTTCCATGCGACTTTAAATGTTTATGCTGATAATGAATTCATACCGTAACTCCGATTTCAATGTCTATTATTATAACTCTGGGGAATTTTCAGAGATAGTAACCCGTATGTAAAAACTATGATAATGTGAACAAATGAGAGATGTATATGGCCATGTGTTCCTCGTTGACGCAGAGACAATCGACGCCACGTGCAACACTGGCCATGATGTATCGTAACAAAGCCTTCTTTTATCAAATTTGTCTAATGATTCGAAAAACAACAACTAAATATTGCTAAAGAGAATTGGACGTCTTTCTCGTGTCATATGTTCAACGATCTAGTAATTAATTTAAATGGAAGTTCACTTTAGAGTTCAATGCTTTGATAAAAAAAAAAAAAGGAGTCGGTAGAAAGACTATATTTGACGTTGAGGTAAACGAGAAATGGATATATACGTAGTCGCTGACAACGGTAAAAAGCTGGTGTTGGAACCGGTTTCTTAAATCGTCCGACGTTCTGCACCGACGAGTCGTTTTATAATTGTTTATCGCAGAAAGTATCAATACTAGAACTAGCACTCAGTGTTGCATGTCTGATAATGTACCAAATATCGTGTTAAATTGTTATTAATATCCTCTTGCTTCTTTGAGAAAAAATATGTAATATTCTTCGATGAAATGCGTGAACACTGATAACAGACATTAATGCATTTCCTCTCTATTAGAAATACATTAGTCAGTTTATTTACACTAAAAAATAATCATTGCCAAGTCTAACGTATTGTACTATCGTTATCGTATTTTATGATTTCCGCGTTTCAATGATGTCCTCCAGACATTGCAACTAAGCAATGATAATTCGTCATCCTGTGAACTTATCTACATTCACGATAATGTAATTAACGTTGTACTGAAAATTGTTTTAAATGTCTGCTTTTATACAAAGAATGTCTAATTCGAAACCTTTCTTTTTTCTTGTACAGATGAAGACTGGAGCGATATTCCTAAGCCTCGCAATCAGTTGCTTTGGCCAACTGATTTATCCCGACGACAGTAGTCTATTCAAAAGCACGATCGTTCCTTATGTCTATTCAACTGACATACGGCAATCAGTGAATAAAAATATCGCATCCTACGAACCACCACAATTCGCTAGCTTGGAACCACCGGCTCTCGGAGCACTTGGAAGCAGCGCGCCGCAAGAAGAAATGGTATCGGCTGTCGGTTCGAAATTCACGGACAACGCGTTGCAGGAATGGAGCGATCACGTAAGCACGAAAATATAGATACTTAATATCCAGTGAAAGGTTTTGATGCACCGCTGACAAGAGCTTCGAGCAGATTATGATAATTACCATATGAATCATGAGCGAGGAGCCTTTAACTTTTCAAATTATGAAACATTCACGCAAAGTTCTTAATAGAAGATGAGATTAGCTAGTGATCCAAGTCAGATAGCGATTTTAAAATGTTATAAACGTGTATTTAATTATTACTTTATCGATGTCAGACACTTGTTAAAATGTCCATTTATTACACTTGTTGCGACATCGAATAAAAGTTTTTTAACATTCAGAACTATGAGCCTATTACAACAAATCGTACGATCTTACGGTTTGCTTCGCGTTGCATGAAAGGATCAAGAAAGTTCATCTAACAATAGAAACGGTCTTCAATCATCTTCAAGCTCTCTTTTGCTTTCTCTATATCGTTTGATTATTATCAACTAGTTCAGATTCTCCAAATAACTAAGACAATTTGTTTCAACATTTAACCGTGAATTAAAATAAAATAAGGCAACTTGAAAAATTCGAATAAATAATAGCTTATTGTTTTAAACAATTTCAGGTAAACAATCTCATAGCCAATGGCGTGTTCAAATTCGCTTTAGACGTCGAACGTGAAATTCATAGGAATCGAGGTACATCCATGATCGAGCAACAGGACAACATAATTTTCTCGCCGCTCAGCATTACCGTGACTTTGGCGATAGTCCTCGCAGGTTCTGCTGGCAAGACCTTCGAGGAGGTGTCCAGGGTTCTTGGACTGGAATTGGGCGTTGATATTTCACGACATTCCGAGATCGTTCATCAAATGTTTGGCTTGCTGACAGACCAGTTTCAAACGAATTTTCTTACATCCACTGCACCGAAAACAGACTTTGCTCTAGCGACTTATGTACAGGTAATAAACTGTGCTTAAGGATGTATTGGCTATACAATCAATCCCAAAAGTTTATGTACCTTAGAAAAATGCATTTCCTATAATTAAAAAGAAATCAGACGTCGGAAAAACAATGCTAATAATAAATAGCTACGTGCTAAAAAGTATAGAAGGAAATATCCAATTAATTATTGACGCTGGCGAAAAGCTTTATATACAGAAGTTGTAGGCACTGACATCCTCTACAAAGAAAGATTCTATGTATTTTTCTTCTAATTTGAGTATTTAACGAGTTAAGTATGATTATATGGCATTTTATTGATGTTGACAAAATCCGACCATTCCACCGTCGAAACAGCGAACTTTTGGCAAAAAATTTCGTTTTTCCTTAATAACTCC